TTAGATGAATATAACTATAAATAGATATTTTGATCTTCTCAAAAAGATATTCTATTCTTCACAAAAATATTAAAAGTTTATTATAATATAACAACAACAAATTCAAAATATAATAAAAAAGAATCAATTATTGTAACTAAAGAATAACAAATTATTATATAAAGAATGAATCTATAAAAGGCTTTTATAGGCCTAAAAGGAACCAGGAGGGGATCAAAAGGGAACCAAAAAGAGACTAAAGCAAAGCGAGATTTGCCCTGCCAGGTGGGGCAAATGGATGACTAATCTAGGCCTGAGGCCGGATCGTCACAACAAAAGTATTAAAAGTTTGTTATAATATAATGACAACAAATTCAAGGTATAGTAAAAAAGAATCAATTATTGTAACTAAAGAATAACAAACTATTATACAAAAAATGAACCTATAAAAGGTTTTTATAAACCTAGAGGGAATCAGGAGGGGATTAAGAGGGAACTAAGAGGGGACTAAAGCAAAGCGAGATTTGCCCTGCCAGGTGGGGCAAATGGATGACTAATCTAGGCCTGAGGCCGGATCGTCACACTAAGATGTATTCAATAAAATAATTACTAACTTTCACTATTTATAGTATATTATCCCTTAGAATATATATGATACTTAATTATATTATATTAAGATTTTGTTTATATATAATAGTGTCCCTAAATGTTATATTGTGATATTTAATTTTTATATTAATATTCTGAATCTTATTAATTAAATCAAGTAAACAGTTGATTCTTATTAAAAGTTATTCCCAAGATAATATATATTAATAACTAAAACCTTTCTTATTAATTAACATTTTTATAATAATAATTTCTTGAATTCCTTTTTTCGAAAACTATATAATAAGTATAATAAAAAGCAATCTTTTTTTGTATTATTTGATAAAAGTAAAGATAATTATTACTTCCCCGGTTATAAAAAGAAAGGCTACAGATATTATAAATATAATTAAAAGGAGAAAGATTAACTTAAAATAAATTATTATAATAAGTATAATAGCCTTAACAATAAAAGTTTCTAAAAATACTATAATCAATTTGTTATAAATATAAGATAAAAGAGTAATCAGAATAATAGCAATAATGATAGAGATTATCTTATTGATTAATATTTTATTAATAATAATAATAATAATATTAAAGAAGTATTTAGGATATTCTTTATATTAATAGATATATATAATGGATTTCAGATAGTAATTATTCTTAACAATATGGTAAGCATTTATATATTAACAGTTGAGATATTAGTTACAAAAATTAAGTGATATTATATTAATAAGTTTTTTGGTATTATAATCAATACTAGTATCGCTCAAAGATTAATTGTTAAATATAATTAATATTTTGTATAAAAAACGATTAAAAATATCAAATATAATTCTGTAATTACTAAGCAAGTGATAATGCGATATAGTATTAATACAACTATTTCTATTAATTTCTTTTGGATAAATCTTTCATTTGGAATAATAAAATAAAATGTAATAAAAGCTGATGTTTTATTTCTGTTGTGTTTGGCAAATATGGATAGGTTCAAATTCAAGTATGATAATATCGATAATATTATTATTATATTTAAGTATATTTTACCTATTTTTCGATAATTCAATTATATATTTCTATTTTGGAAGGTCAATCTTCAGAATGTTATTTATAATTCTATTAGTGATAAAGAATATTTACTTATAAAAATTGAGTTATAACGAATTCATAAATAATTCAATTATCTATTTACTTGCAAATTTTATAAGATATTCAAATACTCTAAATACAATAAAGATTTCGAAGTAATCAAACAATTTATCAAGTTTTGTTATTATTATCAAATCTATAGAAAATTATTAAACAAATTCAAGTTCTCTATTCCCAATAAGAACTTTGAATTCAATTATATAATATTAGTTGATATACTTTATATCAATAATAATCCTGTTTTATATATTATCAATAAAGCTATACATTTTCAAATAATTAAATAATTAAATAATATATTTGTAAAATATATATAAAATAAACTCTATAAATGTTAGATTGATATATATATTAGTTCTCCAGAATATATTGTTTATAATATAGGTATTAATTTTGTTAAAAAAGAGTTTCGATAATATATCATATTAATATCTATTCAAATAAAAACTATTTCTATAGAAGTATATCATTTGATTAATATCATTAAAAGATTTTATATATTACTATATAGATCTTATAAAATCATTTACAATAAAGCTTATAATTTAGATATTAATAAGAATATAATACTTCAAATAACTATAAAAATAATAAACGATATTACTGGACCAAATGGTTTAATATTAATATTACTTATTTTCAGTACATTTTCTAGAATAATTGAATTTAATTCTCTGATATTTATTATTTAATAATAAGTTATTGCGATTTCTAAAGTTATAATAAAAATCTATAAGTTATATAGTTTTATAAAAGTATAAGAAGCTTTGAATATATATAATAACCCTTTAACTATTATACTTTATAGTTTATCTTTAAATAGCAATATTTTAGTATGGAGAGAGGGCAACAATATTACTTTTGGCAAATAAAAAGGACTGTTTTTATTATTCAGTATAGAGAGATATGTATAATTAATCTATCTTATGGACCTATAAGATTCAGATTCATATTAATAAAGCCTTATTATCAAATTGACCAAATTAATAATCAAATTAACTAAATTAACCAAATTAACCAAATTGATCAAATTAACCAAATTAACCAAATTGATTAAATTAATTAAATTAACTAAATTAACTAAATCAATTAAATTAACCAAATCAATTATATTCTGGGTTATCTTAGAAAATATAAAATAATTTTATTAGAATCTAATAAGATTATATTTATTATTTTTGAAGTAATTATTATATATATTAGGAATCCAAAGGAACTCCTATTAGATCTATTTAAGGATAGCTTAATATCTATATCGAAATCTTTTCCCCAGATTATCATATTCCAGATTTATGCTTATATATAAAAAGAGTATATTGGGTAGTTCATTATTAATCTTTTAGATTCAGTTTTATATAAGAATTTTAGAAAAAAGGAGATTAATAGTTTAATGATTAAAAATATATTTAAAGTTATATTATTATTAGAAGTTCCTTTAGATATATACATTTTCAAATTATATTTTATTAATAAAATTAAAAATAAAGAAATGGATATTGAATTTTATAAATTACAATTGATTATTTAAGTATATAATAATATAAATAAAACAATTGTTTTAATATAATTATTAATAATTCAATAATTATACCAATATATTTTAGCTTTATTAACTATAAGCATTAAAAAGATAAATAATATAAATATATACATTTAAGATATTATTTAAATATACACTTAATTAACCTTAAACTTATATTACACTTTCTATACCTATACTTTAAAGGAAATAGATTTATTAATTAATATAATTTTATTTATTATAAAACCATTATATAGTATTCTGGAGGCAGATAATTATTAATTTAAGATATATTATATTTATTATTATAAAAAGCTCAAAATACAATAATTTATTTATAATTCTTGTTTTTTGTATATTAATAATCAGAATATTAGATTTAATATTATTAAACTCCAAATAAATAATATACTCATTATTAGAAATAGCAAATTTGTTTAAATTAAAAAAAAGTAATTCAAATAAACTAATTTTATAATTAAGAATTGAGAAAAGCTAACTTATAATTACTTATTAAATTCAATAATATTACTTTTATACTTTAAAATAATAATATCTATTTTAATCAAAAAAAACAATATACTAATCTTCAATCTGTTTTTATAGAATTTATAAATATTTATGATATATATAATAAAGTTCGAAAACATACTTCTACATATAATCAATATATTGTATAACAAATCCAAAATATATATATTATAATTATATATCAACCCAAAGTATTTTTCGATTTATCAATAATAGTATAAACAATATAGTCAGTTAAAAACAATATTATAATATTGAATAAATATATTAAATAGTAAAAAGAAAATTCTACCAAAGGATTTAACTATATATCACTTAATTTGGATTCATTTAAAATCACTATTTTTGCTAATACCTTTTTTACTAATAATAAGGATTATTTATCCCAAATAGATTATATAATTATTATAATAAATAAGTATAACAATATTAACATTATTTATTAATTATTTATTAAATATAAAAGAATTATATATAGCATTTTAGCTTTAGAGCTATACAGATTAATTTAAGGATTTAATATTGGAATTATAATTATTTCTATAATTAATATTATTTTTAATAAAGAAATCCCATTGGTCTTATACACTAATTCAAAGTCATTATATAACTTGCTCATAAAGCTAGATATAATAAGTGAAAACAATTAATAATCAATATTATAGCTTTACATCAATCTTATAAACGAAAAGAGATTATAGAAGTCATTTGAATTAATGAACCTACTAATCTAATCAATATAATAACTAAAGAAAAACTATATTAAACTCTATCTAATTTTATTAATATAAACAAAATCAATATTAAATTAATAAGATAAATAGAGAAAGAATAGGATAATAGGATAATGAAATAAATAAGAAGAAAGGGCATTTCTTAATATAAGGTTTAGTATTTTATTAATAGAAGAATAAATTGAACTATAAAAAGAGAGTTTCTAGTATATAAATATTGATTATATAGTGAATAGTTTTAATTCATTAGTTATTATATTATAAGCCCTAAGCGAAAGCAAAAAAGACTAGCTCTTTTAGTAGGTCTATATAAGATCTATTATTTCCTGTATATAGCTAGCTCTTTAAATAGAATACAACATAGACATTTAGGACCTACATTTGTAGGTACTACGTCTTCCGTATCCTTCTCAAACCAACAATTAGTGCCATCACTGATTGAATAAGCATATGATAGCATCGCAGAGGGTCCACCGGATATATGTATGACTCTACCAACCACGATGTTTTCCAATCACTCCAAATAATGATCTAAATCCACCCTTACTACGTACGCTCAATGTATGTCCTTTCGGGTCGGTATATTTGAGTCGATTCATCAGCTCACCCGTTTCCTTTGGAAAGAAAGTCGAGAAATCCATGGCTTGGATTCGATTCAGCGCAGTCTGCGTCATTCCATCAGCTTCTGTGGACAATTTAATATTAGCACCGTATTGAATTAGTAAATCGACAACCGCGAGCCGCTGTCGAAGGTTATCCAGCCATATCGCTCCTCCTCGTCCTCCCAGTTTGTCTTGATTAGAAAGAAGTCCATCGCCCCCAAAGAAGGCTCGCTCCCAGATTGTTGCATTCAAATACATATCGCTAGGTTTAGCACCTCTCTGGAGAAGTAGAAAGACCATATTGCTACTCCCTGGTGCTAATCGAAATTTTGGGTCATTGTTATTTACGGCGATATCGAGAAGAGGACGTATTTTTTGGCGAGATAACTTCCCTTGCTTCGAGCCGGATGTGAGTTGATGCCCTGTGAGAACTTTGATCCGAACATATGCACAAAGTCCATAGTTGACAGCTGCAGATATGAAGGACTCATAGCCAAGAGGTGATATCGCATCAAACTGTCGTGAGGTCCAATGATTCCCCGTCCAAGTGGATGCATGATCCTTCATAGTGCGATCCAACTCATCCAAAAGCTCAAAGTTAGACTCTCCAGTTTGGACATCGGCGAATGATGCGTGCTCTAAAGCAAGATATGCCAGACGTGCCTGTTTTTTTGATGTCCAGGAAGCGACAACTCCCTTTAGCAGAAGGATGTAAGATCTCAACATTGCGACGTGGGGGTTAAAGCTACTGCCCTTGGTCCGGTCAAGCTGTTTAGACCAAATATCTGCGCGATTGAGATAGTCGCGCGCTGTACGGTGAAGATACTGGACTTTCAAATCTCCTTCAGCAACTCTCGACAACCTCATTTCACTGACGTGCAGACCTTCCGCAGGCCCCTGTACTTCCAGCAAACCGGCAGACTGGCTTTTCAGTCGATCTTCCATAAGTCGGCATCGGCTTCTGATTTCGTCTGCGGATAATGGAAGTATTCTGGCTGTAATTGCTAAAGTTGAATCTTCGTCGACAGCTAATGAAAGCGCCAAGACAGTGAGAGGCAACTGGTCAACATCTTCTCTTCCAATGATTTTAGCCTCTTGCTGCGCAGCGTTGACAATTTGAAAAAGCCGAGATGCGTGCTGCAGATAGAATGGATGGATGTATGACAGCATATGGTTGTAGAGGTCCTCCAGATCACCTGGTATATCATCCAATCTTCGCCTGAGATCCGAGATAGTATCGCGATTCCTCATTCCGCTAATGAGAGACTGAGTGACAAGTTTGACCCACAGGAACACACCTTGTGCCTTATGTACCAGATCTTGGACAAGCGCTGGCGCCTTAGTGGGTTCTCTGGATGCCAGAATTTGATAGTGGGTATTTGCAGCCAAGTTGTCAGACACGTACTTCTCTATATCACTGACAGTCAAGTCTTGCAGCTTCAAACTCGGATAACTGCTAAACGCATCCCCGAACTCCAGAAGCGGACGACTGGAGACGCAAAGTTTGACCCTAGATGAGCGGCTGAGTTTTAAAACAAAGTCAATAATATTGTCTTTGTTATCATCATACTCGTCTAGACCATCAATGAATAAGCACATATTGAACTTCACGGTATCTTGAGATATGATCTCCTCGAATACAGCTGAAATCTCAGGATATGTCCAAGTTTTATTGATGAATTGATTCGTTTCCTTGACCGCCTCAGCATAGTTGTGTGCCCATTGCAAGGGGAAAAGCAGTGGTATCAAAGATCTGTACTGTTCAAGTATTGCAACGATAAGAGACCGAAGGAGCCCGGCATGTGATCGTTGATCTTTGCTTCCGCTGTTCCAAAAGAAAAATCCGGCCTTCAGACAGTTGTTTGACCACATTGACAGTTCTTGCAGGGTTCTAGGATGGCCAAAAATAAATCGCATCAAGGTGGATTTTCCAGAGCCGGCTTTCCCATGAATCCAATATATAGTCTCCCCGGACTGAAGCCATTTCACGAAGTTCCCCCATGGTGCAGACTCTTCTTGATCCCTGAACAGCCATTCGAATGTTTCCCGGTGGGCTTCGGTCACTTGGTCTAGTCTGTCGTCCATTGCGGGGAATCGAAAGTTGTCCAGTATGGGTTCTTCGGCGTTTCGTCTCACTTTCTCCTCACTATACTCCAATCGGGGTTCGTTCTCAATGTTGTCGAACGTTGACACCGCGGTATTGACTCTGGGCGGGTTTTTATGAGAGCTTCCTTGGCGGAGCTCTTCGCCAGCCTGGTTTAGGACGTGAAAGATGGTTAGCAATCGAGAATCAAGCTTCTCAAGATGCTCCGTAATAATACGGTCTCGAGTCGCCGGATAAGGATCCGGAAGCTTCCGAGTAGATGAAAGTGAGGCAACGATGTCTCGTGTGTTTTGGTCCACTCGGTCAAAACGTTTAGCCATTTCTGTTGTAGTAAAGCTAACACTTGATCTAAGGAAGTTTCACATGTTAGCGGCCAGTTGGTTTGCGAGACAAGTAGGATTACCTTAGCCCAACCAATACATGCAACTGGATGGCGTCTTTATAAGCTGACATCCGCGATGTTAAGGCACTGATCTCATCTTTGGTCCATGCCGTTTTGATTGCTTTCTGCAAGCTACTCCATTTTTGATGGTGCCCGTTTCTTTTCAAGCCTTCTAGCCGCTCAAATAGCTCAGTTGCGACACCGTCACACGCTCCACATACTTTTCTCAATTCCGCTTCCTCCTTCGAACCACATCCAAGGGCAGCCTCACGCAAAGGCGTTCTCAGCTTTCCAGTAATTCCCTTTAGGTCTGCGGTCAGGAATTCAAGCTGGCTATTCGACTCCAGAGCCCCTTCAGGTGATTTTAAGAGCTCATGAGCATTTATCAGAAGCTTGCTTGTAAATTCGACAAATTGCAACACGGTTCCAGCCAGAGATATAGCGCTCAAAGGATCCAGAACCATTGTTGTCGAACAATTAATTGAGCCACAAAGTTTGATAGATGAACAGGGCTTTGACGTCACACTTTGTGTATTCTTTGATTCAATGTGTAAGTCGTTCGATAGGTCTGGAGATTGAAGAAGATAATCGAAGTAATAAATTCTATATATACTGACAAAATGATTTTGGATTATGGTTTACAAGGCTACCGTGAAGAAAGATGCCGAAACGATTTTCGGGCATCAGCTGAGGTTGGGCAATGTACTAACCCTAATCAGGCCTAGTTCTATTACAATGTGCAATATATCTCTTATGTGGGGAACTATTCACAATGTAAAGAAAAGCACAGAGGTTTTTTGCGTGTGTTTTCTGTAATATTACCCCACATAAAACCCTACCTCTCACGCCTTGAACGTTTTATAACATAAAACTAGTTCTCAGGCCTAATAAGTATAATCTATACTACTCCCTATCACTACTTCAACCTAATATACTAATATACTTCTCAATAATATTTGTATAATATCTACTCCTTAGATGTTATACAAAAAAGCTTAGTAATATCTAATCAATAATATCTAGATAATATAGTTTATTAGTTTATTAGTATATATACTATATTAGTATTATATAAGACAGTGATTTCTATAATAAGTGCCGGGACAGGGATCATGTGACCGCACTAGCGCTTGCGCTAGTGCCTCGGCACTATAACATATACGTTTCGTAGTCCTAGCTTTTAGAACCGCAAGCAATATTACAATAGTATGAACCATAGTACTATATTAACTTCACTATCCTCATGATGATATTAACAATAAGATTATAAGATAAAGATAAGCCTTGATATTATAATCTATAGAAATAATACTATAGGAATTATAAGATTAAAAAGTAATTAGTAATTAGGAAAAGATAGATATCTATCTTTGATGATATCTACTCTATTATAAAGCTTTATACTTAAAATAATTATTAGGGTTATTGTTAAAAGGAATAGAAGTTACCGGTACTAATCACGTGCTGTGATTAGTAGTACGGTTACCTAAACAGGCTAGATTAGACGAACCATAGACAGGCATATTGGTCTCCGAGGGGAGCAAGAGGGGATCAAGATGTCTACACGCGAAGTAATAGAGTCAAAACAGAGGCCTCTTCCACTCAATCTTTTAATAGTTATATTATAATTAGTTGTAATCTTATTAAATTCCTATTTGAAGTCTAATCTAAACTATTTTAAGAAATCACTAATCACTTTCACGTGACCCCTAAGGCAGCTCCTATAACAAAATATTGAGTAAACCATAGCCTCTAGTCTTAAAAGCAAGGAATTAATTCTATATTCATTCTTTATATAATATTCTACTTCGAAGTACTAGTTTATATACTTTAGTAAATCTATAACTAATTATATAAACAAGCCACGTAATCCCGTAGGCTGTTTCTATAATATTAGTTCTAAAATTAAGTAAGATATGAATCAATATCAAGTAAAAATCTAAAAAAAAAACTTAGTAAAGAAGAAATGAAAAAGCTGAAACACTATTAGATTGGAAAATTTTCATAGATTCTAAAAATTCATAATTCTAATAACCCTAAATTTTAGTTATTACTAAGTAAAGAGTTATCATCAGATGTATACGAGTTAGATGATTACTTTAATATATTCTAGTAGAAATCAACTATAGTATTACTCTCGAATAAATAACCTACAGAGCAGACTATTTATAGATTACCTACAGGTATATATTATTTCTACACAGTCTAATTCAATAGTATATATTGAAAAAAATTGGAACAATAATAAGAATGTATACACGTTTTCATCAGAATTATATTCATAGAAAGTTGTTGTCGATCATAGAACAGCTATGAGACGAGGAAAATGAGAAATCAATTTGAATATTTCAGTAATTGGATCTCTCAAAACTTGTATACAAGAATGAAGTTACCCGAGCAACGATCGTCCTCCATAAGACTAGTATGATGACCTAAATAACTTTTTTCGAGGGGCTGAGCCTAATGGTCTGACTGAGGTACCCACCTTCCACACAATCTTGAGTCTATAAAGACTTGAGATTCTTCCTTCTATAACTGCGTGATCCCTCTATCCGTATCTTCTGTCCCTTGTTCAATTATTATCCTCCAAATAATATCCCATCTTTAACCATGGTATTTCTTATTCTTACAACATTATCACGGTGCAAGATATAGGTACTAGGTAAGATGTATGATATTCTACAAGGAGTGAAGAAGGAGGCGGAGAGGCGCCGACTATATGGAGGGCGGATGCCTAAGGCATCCACATAACTACGTATTGAACCCGTGACAAACATCAACTCCCACACTTCTAAGCACCAACTTCAAAAGATGTACTGTCAACTGTTCAATATAATCCTCAACATGTGACGAATAAAACTTACCGGAATAAAAATATAAGGGACTGCCTTCTCATATTCCTCCCAACTATGTCCATACTTTGCCCTACAACGTTGGATATCCCTATGAGCACGGTGAAGAATCATACAGGTAAAGAACACCGGATAGAACCAGGGAAAAGGACTCTCAAAGCCGGCCACCAGCGCCCATGCAATCGCAAAGTAAATATCGCAAGTGTAGTGGATTTTGCGTCCATACCGATACCAACCGTCAACAAGGATACTGTCACCCGTTGTCGTCTTGATCACTTTCGGATTGTCGATTGTGCGCCAGGGCAGCTGCGGAAATGCGTTACGGCCTGTGAAGGTGCTGTGCTCCTGGGTGCGAAAGTTGTTCTTCTGGCTGCCAATCGTGTCCCAGACCCAGTAGGTAAAGAGGTAGGATGTGAAGAGAAGGACAAGTGAGGGCATCCGGAGAGATGGATAGACCCATTCGGTTAGAGTGGAAAGATGATTGGCACAGTATAGAATAGCATGGCAGTAGCTGAGTGGCACACCTGCGATGTTCCAGAATATTAGCATAAAGCCCCATTTCTCGTAGTATATATCCCTATTGGCAAATTATCAGCACACTTCCAGAATTTATTTATTGTTATATTGCCAATGTAGCTAGCTCAAGGATTACTCACCATGTAGTCGTTGTGCACTCCTCCCCCTTTGCGCACGCATTGGTATACAGAAAATGCGCCAGGATCAAGAACCACACCTCCGCGCTAACATAACCATACAACTCATACTGCCTAGCGGCTGTGGCACAAGCAAGTGCAAGCAAGATGTTCCACGGCAGTCGTAACATAAAGAACATCTTAAGATCCAGAATTCCGAAGCGCGGGTTGAGTTCTGCGCCCATGAAAAAATCATAGATAAGATTGCCGCTCATTCTATGCTGAACTCCTCGCAAAATCGCCGAGAGATACGCAACGATCGCGATTTGGAAACTGGAGATAATTGCAACGGACATCAGCGGCCCAAACTCGTCCAAGAGCTCGTAGAGCTTGAAAATACCACTGTAATGCAGCGCCCCCGTGACGATGATAGATACCCAGAGGGACCACAGACCGCTGCAATAGTATTGTAACTTCTTACCACCAAGGTGATCTAGCGGCTTGCCATAGCTCCAAACTCCAGGAAGGACTACGTAGCATACAGCTTGGAAGATGATGAACGTCCAATATATCTTCCAAGCGTATAGTGACGGGAATGCTTCTTTACAGGCCAGTTGAATGAGAGAGAAAATAAATTCGGTCAGGGACTGCCCTGCTGAGGGAAGCGGAAAAGAGCCGCCATAAAATTTCGCACCGATCCACATGTAGTACATCAGCAGTGGGAAGCCTAATGTCATTGCACCCGTGCCCCAGGGGCCACCGAACTCGTAATGCACCGAGCCATCATCGATTATCGCATTTTGCATGATGTTGCATGATGAGGGCGATGAGCCACTTTCTTGGAGATGATTTCTTCGTTGACGCTCGTGTGCCTCCCGATCCTTACTTCCCAGATATGAGGTCCTAAGATACAATTAGCCAGTGAATGACAGTTTCATGACGGGCGCTACATACTCCCTGTCCTTCCTTTGATCAACATTCTGATATTGAGTCAGGGTGGCCATATTTTATTACCCTGAAAGTAACATGTCATAATAAACATGAGAAGTCAACATCGGTGGGAAAGCTTTGCACTTTATACTTCCAACCAAATCGTCTCATAGTAACAACCAGATCCGCAACGGAAATTGTGTACAACGGACCAAGCCACCAGCCATACTCGTCTAACGCCAAGAGAGACATCAAGAACGAGATTGCACGCTCGTTCTGCATCGGACTACCGCGGACAATAGGATACCGTGGATGATAAAATCCCGGGCTCAGTCCATATAAAGTTGGATTGTGCTCCACTTCGACTCTGGATGCCGCGGAAGTCCGTCACACTGAGATGAGCAAAAAACATCTAGAATCATTTGTAGGCAACCATCGAATCATTTTTCATTTCTTTATAGGCCGCGCAAAAACAGTCTATACCTATCGGTGCTCTCCAGGTTTTCCGCTCTATAGGTAACTCATTGAAGCTTCTATTTGCTCTACAAAATTATTTATGAGAGCTAGTCTTTGCTCTACAACATGATTATTGTATAAAGTTAATATAATATTGATTCAAATTCAAGCGTAGACTATTATTTGTTTTGAATTACCTACAAATTATCTATATGAATTTCTCGATCATCTACGATGCAGACAGATAATCTAAGGTTGATTGTAAGGCCTATTATTTTCTCTGCAAGTATCTATTGCGCAATCTATTTTCTTTATATCACACTACAACGACCTGTTATCGAGATTATAGTAAATGTCGTCAGCAAGTCCCAAAATGGTTGGATCTCCGAAAAACCAAGCATCTTCTTCCGACATGAGGTCTTGCCTAAATTGTATCCGTTGCCTTTCTAGAGTGTCCAGCCCATAATTGCTCGGAGCGTAATTGGTACCATCAGGGGCATGCCAGAACTCAGGTATGATATCGGTGAGAATGCTAGCACCAAGATCTCGACACTTGTCCGCCATGCTTGCTTCCCTCTTCCGCTGCAGCTGCGTCTCAATGTAGGATTTTCCAGCTTCATAGAACCGTTGACACAGTGCGTGAGCTTTGTAGCCGGCAATATAGGTTTGATCAACCGGCTGGAGGGAGGTGACGAACTTTTCCAGATCTTCTATGGTCTCAAGAGAAAGGGTTGTGACGGCATGACAAAAAATAACGAGAAATGGTATGATTGGGCATGCAAGGACGGTCCTTGATCACATTGTTAGTCGCATTTCTGGGCAGCTTGGGATATCACAGACCACTGCAGATATATAGTCCATATATATTTATGCTTGATCATGTAGTTGAGATAGCAGGAATGATGTGCTGCGAGTGCCGCCTGGGCCGCTTCGAGACATTGTTGGTTGAAAGGAGACAAGGTATCAGAGCTTTCGCTAGGGATTGACCGGTAAATTAGCGTCAGAAGAGACAAAAAAACTACATCGTTTGCATGTTGGACGAAACCAAGGTACTGATGTTGACTAGCTCTATATTCGCAGAACTGGCCTTCGAGCTGTGAAAGATCAGTGAGTATAGTGGCAGAATCATCAAGGCATGTGTGGAAACGTGAAGCTACCTTGGAGTTTCTAGATTTCGCCGCAAGAGTGAGGGAAGCGAGATTTTTCATAGCTTCTGTACGCGCGCTTTGTGATAGCTCCATGGCTTTAGGACTATAGAGGCGTTCGAATGTCCAAGCATGAAGCTGGGCTGCCTCTATCCACAGAGACCAAATAAAGTCCCATACCTGTGAGCCAGAAGTTGACATGGTAGGAAGAGGGTCGGTTGCCAGGTCGCACTCACGGAGACTCGATGGCCGGCCAAGCCTCAACGAAAGCGTCTGATCTAGAATGTAGACATATCTAAACAACGCCATCTTCGCATTCTCATCACTACTACCCGCGTTCTTTCGGACGACCAAACGATGATAACCCAGACTCTGACAGAGTCTAGCTGCTGTGGAAATCAATGTCCAAGCCATACCAAGGGAATGTGTACCTATAGCATACATTGACTATCCTGGTCAGCGATATCATAAATCGTAGGGTATGTGTTGCTGCTCACGGCCAATATCAAAGCTTTTGTATTATCCAATGACAAGTTCATGAATAGATTTAAACGAGTCAGGGCCAATTCCAGATTTCTCTGGCAAAGAAGGCTATTAACATGGAATTTTGCTGTTACAGAGTCATCCTTGTTCTGTGAAATGCAGTATTCTGGCAGTAAGAATAGTAAACACGCATTGATAATAATCAAGTCGGAGGTGGTGCATTCTTCCATTTCGAAGTAAGCCTTCTTGCAGAGGCTATCAAGCTCAGAGATCGAGATAAGGGGAAGAAAGGACAACAGAGTCGGCTTTGTGGGGCCTGTATTAAATCAGCGAGAAGACTAGATTGATTTTGTATATATAGTCACCTTTGGTCCATTTTAATAGCAGCACGATATCTGTCAAGGGGGCATTACGGTATTCCCTTCAGACTTCTGTTGAGTTTCTGTCTCTGGAAAGGATTTGTCGTAAAGAAGTGACTGTGGGTCATTGCGATTCAAAGCCTTGTCGAGCTGCGAGTACTCCATACTGATATCAGGGGCCGAACTATTAAGAGGGTTGCCTTTGACTAGGTCTCGAAACATCTCGCTTGCAAGGTGTGACTGAACACTAAGAGATGATGCACCTTCATAGGCGATCATTTCTGGAGACGGCAGGCTTGAGCCGTCTTTTATGACTGTTGCAGTGTGCTTTTTACCCGTGGTGTCGGGTTTCTCTCTCATTTCTGCTGAATTGGAAAGATGATCAGATACTTTTAGCTCCATTAGACTGCTTTGCAGCATTGACAAAGTCTGCTGAATATCGGAAAGCTGCTCCTCGAGCCGGTTAAATCTGATGTGTCTGAAAAGTTCGTTACTCCGGGTATCCACAAAATATAAATCACCTTACTCGTTATTTCTGGTGCTTGGTCTCACCTGAGCCAACACAGGCCGCCGAATCAAAGTTCGACATGATAGATTGGCTGTTTGGCAGTTCGAACAAGGAAATCGTCTGTCGCAACGAATCTGAATAATCAGCAATCACCAAATGACATGCTCAATCTCTTGACTCACCTTCCTTCGATGACACTGTTCACACTTTGATGTGGTACAACGATTAGCAGTCTCTACCAGGTTTCTACAGCGTCGTGGAACTTACAGCACGAGACTGATGCGTAGCGGTATGACCAGGAGGCTGTGAAGTCCGTGGCTCCGCGGTCGCTTCCATAATGTATTTTCCTTCGACAATTCTAAAACCAGGTAACGCACACGGCAGTTTATCAACATATATGCACATATTTATATCGCGGTCCACGGTGCTCCGCGGACTCCGAAAAGCCGGCTTTTGTAGCCTGAGGCCTAATGTGATGACTCGTTGTGAAAGTACCACGTGACTATCTTTAGTGTATATAGTTCGGAGCTCTTAATTATGAAACGGGCAGGCAGATATCGGACTCCAGGAATTTTTCCCAAAACTAATAACGTTGTGTTATCTTAATTCATTACTAAATGATTTTTGCAGTAGGTCGTTAGTCAATTAATCATCAAGAAGTTTTACTTTTAGATTAATAAATCAAATTTCAATAGATGGAGTCGAATGATGTTTTAAAATAAATTAAAGTAACGTAGTTTATTATCGAGTGGGCTATATCATCGAGTGAGCCATTTCAAATACATACAAAATTCGTTTGTACATAACCGTGCACTTTCTGTATTTATTAATAGAATTTTTTAAAAATTGGATATATAATATCTAATTATAAAATTATTATAAAAATCTAATTTTTTACGGTAAAAACCCCGAATATCATCATTCCATGTATTGATACCTCAAATATCAGATTTATAACTAAAGTGACCTCAACTAGCATTTTGTAATGTTTATCAATCTTTCAATCTAATATACAACCTTTTAGGAATCAATGAAATAAAAAGAAAAGAGATATAGTTATTAATTAGAATTCAAGAAATTCAACAAAATTAATTATTTTGGATTATCTCCAAGATTGAAATTAAAATTCAATTTAATAGTTTTCCAATTGATTTTGTCACAATGATCAAGCTTTAGCGCTAACCCTCCTATTACTGAAATACTACTAAATTGAGTTTTAATTTCAATTTTTGAGATAATTCAAGATAATTTATTTTGTTGAATTTCTTGAATTCTAATTAATAATTTTCTGACTTTTCTTTTTATTTCATTAATTCCTGAAAGATTGTGTATTAGATTTGAGATTTGCTAGCCTATAAATTTAACAATGATATAACGAAATAATGATATTTCGTTCTATCACATACTAGTTGAAGTATCAATACATGGAATAATGATATTCGGGGTTTTTACTGAATTTTTTAATAAAGATTCGAATCTATATAAGAGTTATTAGAGAAATGGTTTTTCTGTAACGAAAATCGTGACATTTTCAATTTATTCTTGAATATAATAGAAATATTTTTATAAAAATTAGATTTCTAGGAAACTAAAATTTTATCATTATTTTACGTTCTCTTATTCTTTAAAAATAATGATTTTTTATTAAAATAGGAATATTAAAAATGACTGATTTTGGTAAATCTAAAAGTGGCCCACTGGATGATATAGCTCATTCGATGATAAACTATGTTATGTATTCTAACTTATTAACTCCCTCCAAACCCACAAGGAAGCCAGAGAATGAAAAGATTCAAATCAAATCCAGCTTCAAAAAGACTCTATCAAGCAGTCATCTCACTATCTGTAGTGACTTTTCTACAACATTAGAAACAAGTTGTTAGCGAGTGTTGAGTGTTCTTGAGACACAAAAGAGACACGGATAAATAACTCGAATGCACTTGTGCGCTCAGTGCTCCAGTGCCTCACTCAAAAGTTCGCAATCAAGACCCGCGTTACTGCTTAAAAGAGGCGCTGCATCCTATAGAATTTGTTAGCTTCGCATGCCAGAATCGAATGTGTACCTGCGAGTAACTCACTAAGCGCATTTGTCACCTGAAAGACAAGGTTCCTCGTTGAAAGAACTATTGATAGACCACCCTTGCGCTCCCTGATCAATATACTCCGGGCCTGGACCCTCACAGCGATGAGCAGTGATCTGACCGATTGGACGCGCAGCCCCGCCCCAAATGCCATCCGTAGGGCAACCCATATGCTTAGTCAAGTATTCTGCTAGAACTAGCATGTAAATGGTGTTCCGTCGCGGGCCAATCGATCAAAGGAAGGACGCATGCGCCGTAAGTAGCGTCGTGAGGCGTGGATGGTGGTGTGCATGAAGTGACACGCGTTGCGAGGACGGCGCGGGCTTCGAGAACGTCGCGGTTGGTGATATTGGTGGCGGCGACCATGTCCTCAGTAAGGCCGAAGGCTGTCAAAGCTTCGGTGGAAACTTGGATTACGGCATCAGAAGCTGTGGCAGGAGCTGGTGCAGCAGCGGAGAGACCGAAGAAGAGAGCCAAAATGGCGAGCTTCTGAATGGAGGCGAGCATCTTGATTATGGTTGTTGTGGTTTGAGGTGTAGAAGAGACAGTGGAAGTGCAAAGATGATAGTGATTTGACAAACTAAGAGAGATGATTGAATGATTGGAAGCGTTTGTTGTCCTTGCTTTAGATGGGACAAAGCCGCTCTTATATACTCTCCTGTCACCGTCTTGAAGGGCATATCTCCTTCGCACAAAGGTATTGTCTCCGGAGTGAGTCCGCAGACACCGAACTAAAGAGTGCTCGTATGGACATGATATCGACAGAAACTTTAAGCTTTGCATATACTATTCCCCCCCTTCGTGATTTGTCGACGTAAAATTTCTAATTGAACTTTCGATGAACATGTTCCCTGATGATAGGCTGGTAAACTGCCTATTGTCCCCTGTTTACCAGAAGAATAACCGAAGAATTGCATTTAACTCGCTTATTTGAGTCCGTTCTATCGCATTTCAAATTACGAGTCGAACACAGCCCGCATAAATGATAATGTAATATCAGAATTTCAAATTAACACAGGCAAGTGAGGATTTGTCCTTTCCCTTTTCCTATTGCGCAAAATCCAATTTGCAAAGGAGACTACAGAGTACAGAAGTCGTTATCAATTATAAAATCTCTATTAATTCCAACAATACTACTGAGTCGGAGAAACGAGACCTGAAGTGAATTACTCGGGGTTCTGCTTGTGAAGCGATAAGCCTCTTATGCAAGGAGGCACAACTCTCTTTTGTAAGGTACTAAATCTGTCGCTATAGGGAAAATGCGTACATACTGCCATCAAATTTCTTCACTATAAACTGATCTATGGACTGATTACCACGCAACCAGTTTTGCTGAAAAATTCCTAAAGTCTGAGCCTTATCCAGCAAATAAGGTTGGTTTCGTTATACATACGATTACAATTAAGCATTGACGGTATGTAATAGGAGTGGGAAAAGGTTTATCGATATGTATATTACATCAAGAAATAGTGTTCTTTATGCCTTCCAAATGAGTCTCTCGAGAATACCGCGAACCTAATATACGAGATACCCTTGGAAAGTATATATGTGCACTTACCTGCCTGTTGTATGAGAAATCCTGGAAAGTAATGCGGTCAAACGTTTAAGGTTCTGGTGGTTCAATCTTTAAATTTGATGCTTAAAATTTAAGCTTTGCCTAAACCCCACCTATCCTGATTTATCAGCCTCACATGCGGAATGTTGGAGCTTGAAGGATATTGCGAAGTGAACTGTCCCCCAGAGATTGTTCTCAGCGGGGATTGACATGCCAGGGTTTCATGGTAAGTGACTCATCCTCAGCATCGCGACTGAGTATACCCTCAAGATAGATAGAACGAATCCCTATCGAGTCAATGTTTCACGGGAACTCTTTTCGGTTCTTCACTTTTTTCATACACCTTGCTCTTTCGAGCTGCCGAGATCGTTCTGGCAATCAATGACATCGAAAATCTTGTAATGGTTACTTCAACATCAGTCCACTAGATTGTTGGGTTCGTCTTTAAACGGTTCTCACCGCCAACATTCTTCTAACTACGGAGCTCACTATGACCATTGCAGAAGTCCGTGCACTAATAGCGCGTTAGTCTGCGATGGGCTATGCTATGCTTGACCCAAGGGAGAACGCTCAATGACATTAATGTGGTACCTTTCGCTCCAAGCAATGTTCCATCAATAGTACTTCCCGCATTTATAAGAAGTCCGAAGTAGCGCATGACATGTTCTACGACAGGGCCACTTACCTTGGGCTCAATGCTTAGGCTTAGTCATGACAGAGCCCCGGATAGTGAGTCGGATGATCGATATCACGTGATATCAATTATCGCTCCTGCCAGCCCCACGGCTGGTAGTGGTGGGGTGAAGGTGATGGGCTACATACTGTTGCGTTAATTGCCTGAATTACGATCGATTGCTTGTTTTTACATTAGCGAAATAACAGGTGGGAATTGATAACCATGTGGAAGAACTTTAACAATTCAGATTTTTTTTACTATAATATTAAATAATAAGAATTCCAGTTCTGAATATAAGGAAGGCTCGAGCTTGTGTTTCGTTTGAATGTTAATATTTATTTTGAATTGAATCAATAATTCAGTAAACTGGTGATATTGAGATAGGCTTCAAAAGGCCAGTTTTCGTCTGATTTTCACTTACCTGGGGCCTATATGACTATTATCAATCGACTTTCGGGATCTTGAAATGAATGATAGTATAACGTGGTTTCTCGGCGAGCTGGTCATACTAGACGTCGGGGAAAATCATTTCAAATTTTCAAAAGAGATTCAAATCGATTTGTTGAGGAATAGTAAGCAATTAGAGGTTTTTTATTGAGTCAGTACTTTTATTTCAAGGTGAATTATTATCACTAATAACCCTCAGAAAAATCCTCGCACTAACAATCTATAGTAACGAGATATAAGAACTTCGTGGATTGTAAAAGACCGAATAAAGGGGGCTTATAGTGGTCGATATGTCTGATAATACTATTCATTATTCAATACTTGTTGCAAAACTCAAGAAGAAATTATGTAGCTGAGTTCTACATCCCATATCTCGAATCAAGTTCAAAGTGGTACAAAAGGATTGACAATGATGAGCATTTTATTAATAGCACCGCTCTGTCTATCCGTCTGCTTATTCTTCAAGAGCAGATTTCAACCACATTGCAGGTGTAATCTTTGGTGGAGATAGCTCCAGGAACTCCTTATCTGTCGTTGCAGTCGAGCACTTCCCTTCCCAGCCTGTGTTAGGAGCACCCTTAATGGATAGAATGAGACCCTTATTCGCTTTGATCGAATCAGCCCAAGTGTCAATGAAAGTCATGTCTCTAAACTTGACATCCTTGACTTCTGTTGCGATGTATTTCTCCACCAGCTTGACAATCTGCTTTCCGTTGATATCCACTGGTCCATTAAGTTCGTACTTTTTCTTGTTGTGGATGGAGTGATCCTCCTGGGCCAGAAGCACAGCGGCAAAGCGACCAACTTCGTCAGGGTGGATACATCCAAGAGGTGCATTGGCATCGGGCATCAACAGGAGTGTGTTTTGCTTGCCGTCTTTGCGATATTGCTTGATGAACTCCAAGGCAGGTCCAAGAACGAAGCTGTGGAAGACATTTGGCTGGAGTGAGGTCCATTGAAGCTTTTCGAACTCAGGAGAGCTCAATAAAGCTTCGACAGCCCAATGCTGGCGTGGATAGTATACTGGGCAATTGGGACGGACATTGGCAGCTGTGGTGGAGATGCGTACAACGTATTCGACGCCAGCATTAAGTAAAGCAAGATGAAATGTTGATTCATCTGCAAATTGAGAGGGCTCATTATGGGAAGCAATCTAGGAGCAAATTCAGCATACTTTTCACGTAGTGGAGGTTTTTAGAACATTTTCAGGGCTCATACAAAAGCCTTGACGACATTGCGTTCTTTCAACCACTCGGGACTGATATCAACCCAAGTTTTCTCTTCAATTGTAACATTTGGAAGTTTGCCAAGTTTCTGTGCAGTTATGCTGTTCGAATCTCGTGTGATGGCAATGATTCGATACCCTAGAAGTGTATTGTTGTTGTTGTTGATGGAGTCTGAAAGGGTCTCCACAACACTTCGACCAGTATTGCCTGTTGCACCGACAATCAAAATTGTAGGAGCCATCGTGTTTGAAGTTGTGTTTGAAGACGAGGCGGAGGTGAATGATCTGATCTTGAAAAGAAGAATACTTGTGGTTTGGTATAGAGCTATGAAGGTATGAGCAGGATATTTATATGTTATGACATTATCTCTTCCATGGCGCTAATCCTGATCCTTCCGCCGAATTCGCCGGAGCTCGGGCACGTTTTGCTGATCTTGAAGTGGAACCCAGTATCGAATACCATTATTAGAGTTCTTTTACAAAGCATGTCCACCACAAATGAAGTACAAGAGAATCCTCAAGTGAGGTTACTCCAGAACAATAGAATAACTTTCGGAGGGGACGACTGCTGCACTGAAGCTCATATTCGAAGCATCAAATGTTATTCTTAGCACACAGGAACTAATTACATAATCGCATTCAAAATTGCAAATGTCCGTCACAGCTTCCTTTATCAACTTGTGCTTTCCATTGTTATTTCTTTTCGCATAAAAGACATTCACCAACGAAACAATCATGTACGACCTACCTTGTACAAGTAAGAACGGACAATAGCTTTCTCGCGTTATCCTGCCACTACAACAACATCCTAGCTTCATCTCTTGAGCAGTTGACTGATTCCTGTTGCGAATGCGAGAACCTTCTCTTCCTGCAATCTCCCACCGACGATTTGCACAGCAACGGGTGCACCGTGTGACAGTTCGGGATTATCTAGAAAATTAGCACATGATTATGCATCTTAATCGATGGAGTAACAGTAAGGGAGAAAGACCTTACAATCATCATGAATAGCCTGGTCAACCTCATTCATACCGGCATATTCCACCGGGTATCGATCAGTATCTTTTCTCACTTCTGTCACCGGAATGACACATGAAGTATAGTCCAGGGCATTGATAATGGTTGTGTAGCCTGGAGAAGAAATATTAGATGTGAACTCAATCTTTTTTATTTCAATTTGATCTTCATACCTAAATATCGGGCCTGCCCCGGTTGAGGAGGTGGAAATGGTGCAAGTGGCATGATAAATGCGTCTACTGGCCTCCCTGTTCCGGTGATCTCCGAAGTACTATTCCAGTAGTCAAGGTATTTCTTTCGATAATTTCTGACTGCAATGTTTGCTTCGATGATGTGGCTGGCGTTGCCCTCTGGAAAGGGCCCTGTTCCTAAGATAGATTCGGTTGGAGGCTCTCCAGATATCGCAAGTGCCGAGTGGTGACCTTTGCCACCGTCGGCAAAGCAAATCTTGAACTAAATGATGATTAATTATACTCTACACACAAGGCAGGGATTACGAACATATGGATCGTTGCCAGCGGAGTGGCTCGGCGGCTCCCATTCGATGACCTGGTAGTTTTAGCGAGAGTTTTTGAATCTGGAAGTGAAGATTTATACCTTATGGCCTAGCGCCTTGATTGCATCTGTAACCATTCTCATGGCTCTCTCCACAGGTGGTTGTGGATTCACATACCCATCACCGATCATGATTCCAAATGCCATTTTGTCCTTGCCATTTATTCCTTGATGCATCTCCATAAATTTATCCTCTCTCCAAGGAAGTTCAATGACCATGGGATCCCTCCTCCATGGCTCAGTTTGCAATAGGCTCCTCATCATCAATTCCAGTCCACTTACCTGTGTCGCCATCGGCCCAACCACAAACGGAAGCATGATTCCGTCTATCGTCGAGGCAATCCCCTCATAGGGCAATCTTCCAGTTGATGGACGGAGTCCGTAGCAGCCATTCCAACCTGCGGGGACACGAGTCGAGGCGCCAATGTCGGTTCCAAGTCCGACAGAGCTTCCTCGCAGAGCTAAAAGGCCGCCTTCGCCACCCGAACTTCCTCCCACAGTAAGTTGACGATTACGAGGATTAGGTGTATAGCCAATAATATTGTTACGTGTCTCTGCGGACATAGACCCCTGAGGAACACTGGTCTTCACGTAGATAACTGCACCGAGAAATCGAAGATCAGTGACAACTTGACTTTCTTTCTCTAGTTGGCGCTTTCCCAGCCAGCCGATATAGCCCAAGCTTGTATCTATACCTTTCACATGTATCGAGTCTTTAAGACTGACAGGAAGACCATGTAATGGGCCCATTGGCTCTTTATGTTCCGCGAAATAGGCATCGAGTTCTGATGCACGATGAAGGGCAGATTCAAACATGATTTCATGAAGGCAGTTGATCTATTCACATATAGACTCCATCAATCTTCATTTCATTGGGGAAGGGGGTGGGGGGCTATATACCATCTGATGAGCCAACGCTGCTCTATGACAGAACGCTTCGGTGACTGCACGGCATGTCCAGTCTCCGCTAGAAGTTTTTTTAACGATATCAACTGCGTCCGTCTCCGTGATTTCCAACTCTGTCGAAGAGAGGTACTGGCGTATGTGGTCTGTCACGTCAGGTAATATTTCGGGGGGTAAAAGTGGAAGTGGAATTCGCCATTCTTTCGGAATGAGCAACAACAGAGCGTCGCGTTTGGAATGCGCGATAGCTTTCCAGTTTTTGAGACTATCGGTCATTTTGTTATAAATAATCGTGGGTGATTGAAATTTTTCGATTGAAATAAAGATGTGCGATATAAGGTATTTCAACTACCGACGTTCAAAAACGGGAATCGGCCTTTTTATAGCCTAACAACGCACGACTAGTGATCATGATTGAGTTATTCAAAGTCACCGAAATTCGGGATAGCTGGAACTTTAATCAATATGCTTGCCGTCATTTCGACCAGTCCGCATGCTGGGCAGATACTACACATATGCATCGACTGATTCCGCGATTTGAGGAAGCGGCATACTGCTGAACCTGGCGCAATGCGCAAGTCATAAAGTATTACGGAAGCTTGAGGTCCCGAGATACAATAACAGTTTCAGTAGCACTTTACAAAATCATTCCACATACGTTTGCACAACTTCAATTGAAAATCCTCAAAGTCGAATTGCTTTGTTCCGACGATGCGGCGGGAGGTTGACCTAATCAAGAATGGACAAGTTCAAAGCATTGATCATGTAGCCATTAGTAATCGAAGCTTGCACGGAAGCTTGAGGCCCCAATAAATGGTCGATCCGTAAAAAATTTATGCAACTTCCAACGAAAAGTGTTCAAAGCCGAGTTGCTTCATCCGATGATGCGGAGGAAGGACCATAGTTTAAATTTCAATCAACCTTGTCAAAGATAGGCTGGCTGAAAATCTTAATCTGGTGCAGATTGGTAATCGAATTCAACAGATTCCACAGTGTAACCAGGAATTAAACCCTCCGCACTGTTGAACTAATATGCATAAGTAGGTGAGGCTCCTTATATTTCAGACCAGCCATTATTCGACAATAGCTCGCTTTCCAAACTTCCACCTTTCATAAATCTAAGTCTAGATCAACTATGCCAAAATACTTTAATCCTTGATCTTGACTTGTCATGCAAAGAATACTCTTCAATTTTTCTACGATATGGCGGCGGAATATTGACTCCGCATTTCCCGACTAAGTTTCTCTGTGGTGGCAAAGTTAATATTCTGGACAAAAATAAATTCAATATAAATCCCTATACAAATTTTTATTTAGTACATTACAATATTGATATATATATTTGTTAATAACGAATAGAACTCTTCGTTACTAACAAATCAAATCAATTCTTTTTGCAACCCATTTATTATTAAATTTTGATTAGAAAAAAGAAAATGAGAATCTTAAAAGGCCTTAAAGCTTTCAAGATTTTCGAATATTAAAGTTGTAAAGATAGTAAACAGAAAAGTATATGCATAGAAAATCAAAAAGGTAAATAAGAGCTAAAGAAGAGAAAGGGAATAAGTATAGAAACTAAGGGATAAGCAAAAAGCATTAGCCAAAAGTTTAAAGAAAAATAGAATCCTTTTTATAAGTTATATTATATAAGAAAAACCTATAAAAAAGGTTTCAAATGAAATCATAAGCTATACCACTATATTATACAATACAAAATATATCATATAAATAAGAATCTAACCTAACTTCAATTTATATATCAATAAATCAAAATTTTTATTCGAATTCAATAAAAGATTCAAAATAGAAGTATAATAGAAAGATTAATAATCCTTAATAAATTCTAATTGAAACATTTAAAAGATTTTTTTTATTTTTTTATTGAAATCTAATAAAAGATTAATTTAGAAGAAAAAGAAAAGAAAGAAGGGGGGTTGAAAAACAAGTAAAACCTAGAAACTTTTTATTTGAAAGATAATTATTACTTCAAACCAAAACTTTCATTCAACTTTCTAAAATTTAAGAAATTCACTAAGTCCTTATTAATTAGAATAAATTTTATAAAATATAAAGAATTAGATTGATTATATTAATACTTTAAAAACGATTTATTTAATATATAATAAAGGTATTATAGAATTTATAATAATTACAAAAGGATTACTTCGTCAACCACGGATTCTGTCACCACAGGGTTTCCGGCAAAAATGTTAGCCAATTGATTTTAAAGAGAATGGAAACACAATACCTTTCTAAGATGTTCCCCTATCTGTTGTAATTGTGATGGCCGGTTTTAGCTTCAACGGAATTGGTACATGTACCGAAGTCCGCTTCGCGGCCGTGAATCCTGCAAAGATACTGCTTCGTGGGCGCAGCGAATTTGAGATCTCCCCGATCACCGAAGAGATTGAGCAAACAAGCCAATCAACGAAATCATGGTTTATAAAATTTGATCTCGTATCATGCATATTCGTACATGCAGTCGCAACGGGGGTTAAGTCTACTATTACTGTTATTGAGAACGCTGACATCATGGGCCCTGAATTTTCCTTCACGCCTGAGAACGTGGAGAGTCAATTTGGTCTGAATTACTTTGAGCATTTTCTCCTCCCCGATTTTCTGCTGCCTAAGCTTGAAGCTGCTGGTACGGGGAGCCGGATTGAAATGTATTTAACCTCCGCACCAGCGTTTTCTATTTTCCAAGATATATCCAGTGGTATGATTATCATAAAGTCTTTGGACAACTTGGTGTGCCCACTTGACCGTATCACTACTACCTGAATTTTGATCCACCCCTGGAATGGTCCTTTCGATCCTTTCGACTCTCTTTGGTGGCATTGCAGATAGAATTGGATGGTAATGCACCATTGAGTGCGTTGTTATGGTAAGTGTATTTGACGCAATCAAAACAGCTTGTGATGAGGATGATTTGCTTGTGAGATAAAATCCTCATATATGTAAGATTTCCAATCGTTTCCGAAACTCATGAGCTTTGTTTCTATGTATGTTAACATTTTAAAGGGTAGATCGGCAGTAATATACTCAATTTTAGGTCAATGACCAAGTGTTTCTGTCTCTGGGTACTGAACCTGTCCCTCACTTGAAAGGACGGAAAGATAAATGCTCCTCTCTTTTGCCAGGAGACGCATTTGCAAAGAACCCAAATATGCTTGTTCCTGAGTATTCCAAAGGTTTCTCTCGAAGAAACACCATGGACTTAGAATGTGGACACTTCATTCCAATACAGTCAGCTCGAAATTTCGGATGATATCATCAACCAGAAAATGCTTCATTACGGCTGCGAAATGTTCGCTTAAGAAGCGAAGTGAGTGTAATGTTGTTTGTTGTGATTCACTGGAGCATAAGGGGTGCATATTTTGGACAGTCAAGATTGTTTGTCAATTCTATACAACCAGTATACTGAAGTGTCTACGTCGGTGTAGCAAATAAATCCAATAGCTTCGAAAATACTTAGTAGGTTATCTTGCATACAGAGTGCTCATATCAAATACAGGACAATTCTGAGACATTTACCGGCGGCATTGATAGATTAATTTAAGCACGTAAATATAAGAACGTCTGATTTCGTATGTAATCTCGATCTAGGGAACTTGATGTAGCTCATGACCAAGATGGCACTCATAATTTAAGTATTGACACCAAGATTGCCCAATATTTCAGGATATTTGTCTCCTTTCAATCATCTTTGGGGGCGCAATATTGATCAATTGCTCTTATTTAACGACACTCAAAGCAGCAGGGGAAGTGCAACTTGGGTGTCGACTATCTGGAGGAGTTTGAAGTGTAGATGCATATTCAAATTCGCTTTTTCCTTTAATGGCGATTGAACGAGTCTTGGTCCCGATGAGGTGATCCCGATACTTTATCTGAAGGTCAAAGGCGCTGGAGTATGCCTCAGAAAATGAAGGGTCGTCGTAAATAGAAACTTACATTCCATAGGTTCAATTATACCATTCAATTTTCATCTCAAATCATTCAAACTAAAAACAGGCATTTCTTCTTCTTTTCTAATTCGATCGGAATCATATATTTCATTTCATTTATAACGTGATTCATATACATACAGGCCATATCATTATGTGGGCCACTTAAAAATACACCAAAATTAGGCGTTTCTTAATATTCTTATTTTCATAGCTAATCATTATTTTGGAAAAACAAAAGAATATTAAATAATAATAAAAAATCAGTTTTTTAGAAATCTAGTTTTTATATAGATAATTTCATTATATTCTAAAAAAAAAGTGGAAATTGTTACGATTTTTGTTACAAAAAAGTTTTTTCTTTAATAACTATTATAATAATTTGAATTTCCAATAAATAATTAGGTTTTTATAATATTTATATAATTGGATTTTGAATTTTCAAATTTTATAAAATTATATTATTAGATAAAGAAAGTGCACAATTATACACAAACGAATTTTGTACACAAAAAGGGATGGCTCATATGATAATATAGTCTACATGTATATAAATCACGTTAGCTTTATTACTCTTCTATTTAGAATTTCTCTTCTCCTTTTGCTCTTTCTACCCTCGCTACCTCCCTTCGTAGGAATCCATCTCTTTCTACAGTACAAGGTACTTGGAGAAAGATGAGGAATTATAATATTTGTTAAATATTCACATGGACAATAATATCTCGGCGGATCAGTCCTCAGGTCGAGGTCCGAGCGGACAATTGCCACGTGATTATATCTTCACCTTCTTTTCCAACTTTGTCCAGGCAGAACTATTCTTGTATTCACGTACAATTATTGATCATTTGGGATTTGCTTCTCATGATATTAAAATATGGCCATGGTACCTTCTAAAGCAATTCAGGACTTAGTCACTATTCTACGGCACGACTTTACTGTCGAATTGAACGCTTCATTAGCTTCGTTGCCACCTCAATCTTCCACTTATTTAAAAATACATGCTGAGATCTGCATCGATCCATCTGTGCCACAGGATCAACTTGGAGGACACAAGTCCCAGCCAATTTATTTAGTAAGATAGATTATCTAGTTCACATCGGTTCAATTATTTCATCAGTAATTTTTCTAAAATGAGGCTTAGGGCTCAATTTCTCTAGATCAAACCGGGTCACATGAACATTTAAACCAACAATGCACAATACCTGTGTCTACAGGTCCTTCTCTGTTGCGTGATAATACGATAATGAAGGGGGTCGAATTATCTCATAAAGCGCCTGAGCTGCCCAGCATGCATCAATCCTCCTCCCTTGAGAAGAGACGAAAGACTATCGG